ATGCTTCCAATGTATAAAATTTGATTGGAAGCTTCCAATCCAAATGAATTTATTAGAGTATTATGCTTCCAACCCTTTCAAAAGAGTGCTTCCAATCTTCCAAGTGCACATCACTGCCTATACCCTCAATACCATCATCTCCACCACATATACCATCACCAGTACCGGCAACTTGCTTAAATTGTCAGTTTCACTGTCCAAGTGATTAAAAGTTTCTTTAATACATGATGGATTTTTCTTAAATGAGTCTATTCCTGAAATGATGTGTAAATTTATGTGGACTTTCGAAGAAAATTTGGAATTATTTGACGATGCTAAATAAGTATAACACTTAAACAAGAAAAACAATTGAGTACTTTAATGTTTATATGTAAATTAAACTTATTTTATATACTACGATAATTGTATAACAATTCTACAATAATGTATTTTTCTGCGAACATTTATTAAATAAAAATCTTTGACTTTATCACATGCTGTCACATGGTTTAAGAAATACTATTTAGCGATGAGAGTTACATAACATAGGCATCTGTTTGAATGATCGCGAACTTGAATTTATTTTATTGCTTGACATATCATAACTAGATAACATATCATTCATCATGTATCAACGCTCCTTATTGCAAACTAGTAAATATGTATGGTTCTTGCCATTATCTTGATCCAATGCCACAGATTTGTTATTATCTTGCTTGTCAGTCCACAATACAAACCTCAAATATAAAACTGGGGATTTGAGATGAAATACTTTTCTTCCAGAGTGGAAAGAAAATAAGCTTGGTTATAAGTCAGATTATTTGGTTGTTTTGAGGTATGGAAGTCTCATGTATTATAAATTATTAATGGCACTGTCAGAAATTACCTAATATTGTGTTACTATAAGCGCCTACCCCCCTTATAAGAGGGAGAAAAGTTTACAAGTGCAAGGGATGCAATGTGGGATGTAAATGGAACGCGGGGGATATTCCTTCGCGCGTTGCTTGATGGAGCCATATGCATGCATATGTAGGAATTGGTAATCATGCTTAGCGAATCCTAGTTACAATCCATCCGAAAATACATTTAGTTAAATCCTGTAAACTCAACCTAATCGACTGATTTTTTTGAACTGTTGATATTTATTTCATTGTTACTCCGACGTTAAGTGATGTATATACATGAGGTGCATTTTTACGTGAATTATTCAGTTAAAAAAATAAAATTTTGCCTTTATATGGTTTAATAAATGATTTTGAAGTAAAAAATAAAAATTGCTTGATTTTTCGTTTAAAAAAGAAATATTTCCACATTTGATGTTTAACTTCTTAGGCCAGAAATACCTCAAAGTACCGTGCGTTTAGAAATTTAAAAATTACCGTTGAAACGACTTTGTTTTTTGCAAGTAGGAAAAAAATTTTATTTTTCTGTTCAATTAATTAAGTTCATTTTAAAGTCAATATTTTTATTAACATTGTTATTATCGAATAGATCCTATTACCGATCGGAAAAGTCATGAAAATTTTCCGATAACCTTAACATGATAATCAAATGACAATATATATAACTTGCTTCTATTGTTATAAAGTACCTTGATGCTGGTTATTATAAGAATCGAGTAAAAAACAAATTAAAAATTCAAAAAAGATATTGTTTACTTTTTTTATCTGATGATTAATCAATCCATCTTACGCAAGTGTATGACAGTATTAAATTAATCGCAACTGCATTACATTTGACTTTATCGGCACTTGTACTCAAGATAATCTGAACTTAATCTTTTGTTTACGATTGGTATCAATTTGGGGTTTTTCACTTTCTTCCACCCCAAAATTAACGTTATAAATTCCTATAGCAAATTTTGTCAGTTTCAACCTTTAATGAATCAGATATGAATACCTCAAAAACTTTTGCTGCTTTCTTTATCCTCTTCCTCACTTTAATCTCTTCCACAAATGCTCACATGAGTCTTGTAGCTCCGAAATATAGAGGAAGTGACGAAGGCAAGGTAAGCGAGGCTCCTTGTGGAGGTTTTAGTGATGTAAACACAGCTGCCATATCCGATTTTCCAGTTACAGGTGAGAATTCTTTGAAATTTTCGAACACGCCTATTTCATCGTAAAAAAAAAAAGGGAAGCACTTCAACGGCCCGTTTATGTTGTTTAGAATGGCGGAATTCTTTTTTTTTTTTTTTAAAAAAAAACTTTTCAGAAACCATTTTTAAATTTTCAAAAATGTATTTGTAATAAGAGATACTGTATCTTCAATTAGTTCAAAAGATTACTCTCATTTCGCTTGCTGATCGTCCAATTGTAAATTTGGTTTGTTATATATAGATGGTAGAGCAACAACCAAGTACGAAGATGGTAATGGAATGATGTATTTCAACTACGCTCCCACCTCTGATGGTCCTTTCATGCCCGTTTCAGGTATAAACTCTTTAAATTTATAAGGAATTTATTTTTTTTTAAAAAAAATATTTTAAATTAAGGGGATTCTTTTAATATGCACAGAAAATGTCACAGTTAACGTTCCCGAAGATACTAATAATGGTGTTCAATTTTCAACAAATATTAATCTCTCTTTAGCAAATGCTAAAGTTGGTGACTCAGGTGTGCTACAAGTTGTTTATAATTCAACCACTGGAGTTACTACGTGGTATCAATGTGCTGATATCCATGTTGTAAATGCTAATGATGCCAAATCTGTTGGCGTCAACATGCATCTTGAAGTCGCTTCCCTTATATTTAGTATTGCTTCTTTGTTAATGATTCTAAATTAATTTTTACAGTCAAGGCTTTGACATTATTATTTTCCATGTAAAAAAATTTGGTTAAAAAAATATATTATGCTTGTTTTGAAAAAGTGTTAATCATATCAATGAAACATCCCTATTTTAAAGTTATGCTGAGGGAAAAAATATAATAAATCTCCTTTAAAATGCACCTTTTTTTTTTTTGCAAAGAAATTATTAAATATATACAAAAATGTTAAATTATTAATGGAATAGAATCAGATTCTTCTGGAACAATTTTTTTTTTTTCGTCAAGGTTGCATTAATTACGTAATAAAATGATTATTAAATACGAATATTTTATACATTAAAAAGTTTTACTCAAAAAAATGATTTTTTTTTTATTATATCCACAATAAATCTTGAGAATATATGAATTCTTTAATACTGCTCGAAAATTTTAGATAAAAGTCAAAAAAAAAAAAAAAAAAAAAAAATCCGGTAGAAATTCCGAAACTCACGAATTGGGAAATCGTTAAAATATTTTTTTAGCTTTGTGTAATAACAAATAAACCTTAAATCCCTTGATTTGCAATTTGCATTTACTGTATAAATTTCATTATTGTAAAAAATATTTTTATATACACTGTATATTTCTAATTATGAAAGACAACAAAATAATTTCTTGCTTTTCTTTCATCATAACTTTGCTTCTCCTTTTAATAACTACGATAAATGCTTTATTACCTGATGAAACAAGATTTAATGAATGTGAAGGAGGACCTTATCCAAACACCATTTCAAATTTTCAAATAAATCCTGAACCGTTAGTAATAGGACAAAGCGCATCATACACATTTAATGGAACGAGAAATGTAGAAATTCTTGAGGGTTCCATAATAGAATTCTTATTAATTGATGAAAAGAATGAAATAATATTTAAAAAGATAGAATATATTTGTTCAATTGTAAATGAAAAATGTCCTTTACCAATTGGAAATTATGAATTTACTTATGGGTTAAATCTTAATATTCTTGAAGAATCTGAAAATGTTGATATGCCGCCAAAAACTTTTCTTCTTTATTTTACAAGTAAGCAATTCTTTGTCTCATTATTTTTTAAAAAAGGTAAATATTTAATTTATACAATTTTTTTTTTTTAAAAAAAAAATAGTTAAGGATCCAAAAGAAATTATTTTATCATGTATACAAGGTCCTGTTGAATTATCTTATGTTTTTACAGCTTCATTAAATGGTAATAAGAAACGTTATTTTCATTGATTATAATACAATAAAATTGAAAGAAAAAAACATAAAAAACAACTTAAGATTCAATCTTTAATTTAATTCATAATACAATACAATAAAAATTTTGAAACACAGTTAAATTTATCGGATTCATAATAAATTTTAAATCTCAAGAAATATTTTTAATAATAGAATCTAAATTTTTAACTTTCAAGTGAAATTCATGATTATTAAATTCTTGTTCAATAACCTAAATAAATCAACAAATTAATAAACATCCCCACAAAAGTTCTCAAAAACTACATATCAAATTTGCATTTACCTCAACTTTAACAGGAGTTGAAACAGTAACAACATTGGAAGTTTCAGGTTTAAATAGATTTAATACATATTTCGTTAATATTGGATAAATATCTTCAATTTTAACGGCCTAAAATTTAAAGTAATTTTTTAATTATACAAAAATGGTAAACATAACACCCCCCATCAATTTACAATACCTGAACTTTTGCTATTTGATCTTTATTATAATTCGCATCCATATTTTTTAATACTTGCGCCATGAACGTCTCAGAAGCCTAACAAGAAAATTAATTAATTTTTTTTTTTTTAAAAAAAAAAGTTTTGAACACTTACCGCTGAAGTAGGATTATGCTACGAGATCAAAAGTAAGAAAAAAAAAAATTAGTATTTCGATTAAGTTATTAATACTTCCAAATCATCAACCTCATTTTGATAACTTGTTTATCATACCTCTTTTCTAACAAGTTTAAAGATCATACTACTCTTAGCTCCTTCAAATTTAGATTTATCAAAATCAATCTAAGAAACATAAAATGGCTTATTAATTAATGTTCAAATGGATTCTTTCTATAAAATAATAATATATACCGTCTTCTCAGCCAAACCAAAAACAACTTTTCTAGCTTGTTCAAAAGCTTTAAAAGCATCGGGAGATCGATAAATAATAAATTCGAGATGTCCTATATAAAATTTTCTTTTTGAATTAATTACGTATTTTAATATCCAACAATAAAATTACAATATTCTTACCACTTTCAACATCAACATCGAACCAAGTACCATAAGCTAAACCCTGACCACGAATTGAAACCCATAATAAACCTTCAAGAATATCCAAGAATTCACATAATACATATAACGGTACGAGGTCTGGTGAATCGAAACTCAATGGACCTTTGGTTATATGCGCTGAAAAAGAACTTTCAATAGATGGTAATTTAACAACATAACCCTAGATGTATGTATAAATTTGTTAATTTAAAAGGTAATCAAATAAATTACAAATAATCGAGTGCCATACCTGATTCCCAGGATTTTTTCCATATTCTGTCAAAACTTGTTGAGATAAAGGAACAGGTGTTAATTGTTTAGAAGTCTACCCATTCCAAAAGTGTTTTAAATTTTCCAAGTCAATAAGTTACATCATATAGATAGCATTAGCAAATTTTAACAAATAAACGCTTACTTCAATTATCTTAAAATGTTCAGCCCAAACAGTTTTTGGATTAGGAAGATTTAAAATATCCCCTATAACATGAATTCTAAAATTCTCGGGTTTGGTCACTAATTAAAACGTATATCATCATTTAACTAATTATTCTTAAAACTAATAAAAAAATTTAAAGAAATTCTTTCTCACATAATCCTCTAAGTTGATAAAATCTTTGAATGACCTGATCAGGGTCCTTGCCCAATTCATTAATAAAATTTTTTATAAATCTCTCTTGATACAGAGATGAAAGAGAACATTTATTGGATAATTTGGAATCAAAGTTAATCAAATCTGAAACTACTGATGCCATCTATTAGAAAAGTCAAAAGAGGAACATTAGATAAGAATAAATATTATAATTAAATACAATACAAAATTAAAGGTTTACCCCGTGTCCATCACGCTTTTCTTCTGGAATCTCATTAAGGAGTTTCGAAGCTATGACCTTTAATCTGAAAGTAATATATTAAATATCACAAAGCAAAATACTAAAGGTGTCGTGATATATTGCATACCTATCAGCGGTAAATTCCGTGTTCCATAGTAAATCACGTAACCATTGGATACCTTTAACATAATTACTAGCTTCAACCTTAATATGAATTACAATCATTTGATCAAAAGATTTCCCAACTCCTAAAGAAGAATGATAATCCACGGTATCATTATTCAATTCTGATACAACTTGTTCAAATGTTAACTTGGTTCCATCAGGAAGAGTAAGTGGAAGAAAGTAAAATGATTCAAGGTACAAGTTAATGTAGGGACGTAATTCAACTGGTATAGCTGTAGTGTTGATATATAATGATACTGTTACAAATGCGGAACTGAAATCTGTAAAAAAAAAAAAAAAAAAGATGGAGAAAAATTACATTAGATAAAATAATAGATAAGACAAACACAAAATATTTGTGATTGAATTATTTACGATCGTATTGAATAAAATAAGGAATATCGATTTTTGAATCTTGGTCAAGATATTTTTGAAGAGGGTTATCGCTATAAATTAAAAAATTTAGTAAGTCAACCTTCCAAATTCCTCTTCAAAAGATGAATACATACAATTTCCCTTCAGGCTTATTACGACCGGTGACAGAACTAATAAAAGGAATGCTATCGACACTAGGCACAGGAAAATTTTCAATAACACTAGAAGGTATAGGTACGTCATTTGATTTTATGGCTTTCTCTAAGCGCTCTTCTAATTCTTTTAATTTGTCTGTTCCTAAATTCTCGATTTGTTTTTCAGTACGTTTTTTTTCTTGTTCTGCCAATGTTTCAGCAAGTGTAGCAGAAGGTTTGCCCAAGATTGTTATGTTCGGATTGTCTAAATGATATTTTTTTAGATATTGTATCCATTGTTGTTCAGTAAACTCAGATAACTGATCGTAATATTTTAAGTCTTTTGTTGCTCTCTCTAAATATTCTCCTGTTTCTTTGCCATAAACATAATCTATTAAAAGAGAAAATCAAGTAAGTTAAAAGGTAAAAATAATTGTTTATATAATTAATGTTAAGTACTAACCTATGATACAAAGATCGCTAAAATAATTATGTGGGTTTGTTTCAATAATATTCAGAGACTTTAATAAAAAAAAAATTACTTAGCATATAATTCGGTAAATAAAAACCTCGTATAAGTTTAGGATAATATCTTACCCTTAATTTCACTAATCGTATAACGGTTTTCATACGATTCATGTCGATTCCTTCACTTTCAACAATTCTTTGAAATACTTCTAATACACTATCTGCCAAATCATCTAATTCAGAAGTTGGAACATTATAAAAAGTAGCTAAAATAGCTGTACGAGTTTGAGGTTGAACTGATATATCAATATCTAAGTGTAGTATATTGGGAAGATAAGTAAAAGCATTAAAAAATTGATTATGTATATTGAATAATCATTAAGCGACATTACCTGTACATAATGGATCTTCCGTCTCTACAAATTCTTTTTGTAATACTGAAACCGCTGAATCTGATAAATATCTAAATTAATAGTAAAGGAAAAATGTAGTGTTGTAAGTAAATGTAATATTCAAAGCAGCATATGATATTTATTTACTCATGAAGAACTTCTAATGCTACTATTTCCAAGAATTCCTAATGAATGTAAAAAGAAGTATAAGCATTCAGATACAATTAATTTGATTACTTCCGTTATAACTTCTCTAATACTTACATCGACTAATGGACCCAACCAAACAATAAGTAATTGACCAACACTTTCATCTTCATCAGGAAATTCTACTTGGTCTCTAATAGACTTTTCAAGTAACGGAATTGGTGGTGAATCTACAAATGGTCTGATAAATAAAAAGTAGAAGTGGTATTCATCAGTATCTTATTATTTTTGCATTAATTAGGCTTCTTACCTTTTATGAGTTGGCAAAGAGCCTTTTGTCTTCTCGGATATCCTCTTATCTAGTGGATCAAGTGTTTTTAATAGTTCATTATATGAAATATTTCCAGTAATAATGAGACATAGATTATCCGGTCTATAATAATCTTTATGATACTAATAAAAGCATATTCAAGTAATAGTATTAGAAATATATTATTAAAAGGATATTTTGATAAGTCATACGTACTTGACGGACTAATAATAAAAAAGTTTATTAGAAAAGAATTGATTATTCAAAATCATTTGCTATAATTATAATACTTACTAGTTTCTACATTGAGTGTTCTTAGTTTTTCCATGAGACCACCAGTTACATAGCGATATCCACATCCTTCTGGATATATTAATCGTCGATACCTAAAACCAAATTTTAATTTAGTATGGGAATTAGAATGTTTAAGCAAAAACATTCAATTTGTTTGTAAATTTACTTTAATTCAATGCGAGATTCATCGGAATTTTCTCGTCCCTATAAATATAATATTACAAACAATTTTTTTTTTTACAAAAAAAAATAGAAAATTCGAATCACAATAACTATAAACAATGGTTACCTGCATTTCACTGTAAACCACCTTAGATAAAAACGACTAAGATTAATAAATAAAAACATATGGATCAAAATAATAAATAATCTGTACCCCTACAATGATACATAAATAAAGTTATTAATGTTTAAATAAAAGATTTCTGTATATAACAAAATATACATACCAGCATTTTCCCCTTTTCCATTAATATGATGAACTTCAGTATAACATCCACTTTCAGTTAACGTAGGATAAAGGATATGATCCACATAAATGGGTAATAAATTTAAAAACCCCTCACTTCCTGCCGTTTGGATTGTATATGTTGTATTATCTTGTGCCGTCCATGCATTTGTCCCATTAGCATACGCTCTATTAGCCAGTGTATCTAAAACTCCCTATAAAATATTTAAATTAATTGATTAAAATAATTCTCAAAGTTATTCAAGTTATTATTAAAAATCTTCGATACCTTGTGGGGATATAGTTCACTTCCAAGGAACACTAGGCTATATTATATGTTTCTATGTGAGAATTATTTCATGTATTAGATTTTATTATTATCAAAGAATAAACATACTGTTCTAAAGTATGAGGGCATCCGTAATCATCCGCAGCTATTAATGATAAATTATTAGAAAAAAATCATTAATTTTTCTCAATGGTATTATTTATAAATACCTTCTGTAGCAACTAAGAAATTCCCATTAACTATCGATTCTATGATAAGAAAAAAATGAAATTACGACTTTAAATTATTACATTCGGGTCAAAACATTTGGACAATTTCTATTATAATCGAATTAATACCTTGGGTTTCAATGAGAATTACTGTTAATCCTGTAACTTCGGATTTGGATTTTGTAATGTTGTTACCAAATTCTGTTTCAATCGATTTTATTATTTTAAAGTTCATGATGAAAAAAAATTTTTTATCCGAAAATCCATGAAATTCCTGATATATTTATATCATAGTGTAAGTGGACCGGATTGGTTAATCGGCTAGTTTATTAGATGGTGATTTCATAATAATTAATAAGTTTTTGACAGTCAAATGCGGCTTTAAATTAATATCTCCTTTTATCGCACAGCCCTATAGAATCATGCACCAATATTTCTTTATATGAATATATCTTTGTACAATATTGCTATCTGTAATGTTTATTTTCAAATTAACCTGTTGTAAAACTCCACTATTTATCAAATTAAAGTTTATTAAATATAATTGCAATTTGATATGACTGAATGTTGGTTTAAATGGCAATAAATTGCTGAAACAGCTGCTTTAATTAAAGAAACAGAATATTCATTACCATTTTGCTATTTCATTGCTGCCAAATAATTGAGAATCCATTGCTTTTATACCTCTAGTTTTCCTTCATAATTATTATTAGCTCAAAAATTTTTTTACAGCACATATCCAATTATTGGTAGAATATTTAGTATTCTTAACTTTTTCAATTTTGCAGAAGAAATTAACATTTTTTTCCAAATTATCATTTGAAACCTTATTTCAAAAATCATAAAATTATTATTTTAAATGTAATATTATACAGTGTGGGACAAAAAAAACCAGAATTTTTTAAATACACATTATGCAAAAACTAATGACACCAACTAAATAAAATTTATATATATTTGAAAGCTAAAAACTAGCTAAATTTATTAATATTTTTTTAGAACGGAATTCGTTCACCATTATTTTCTATAATAAGTTCACATCGGGCATTTCATTGATCCTACTAACCCAATTAGGGTCGATTCTGGAATATCGTCTCGTTCTTTGATCATATATCAGCACAAATCATCAGTATTCTTTGACATTTTCTTCTCCACATTCCTTTTAACAATACTCCAAAGGTTTTCTATCGGATTTAGATCTGGACTGTTAGAAGGCCAGTCAATAACTTCAGAAAAATTTTCCCAAAGAAATTTTTTGGCATGATTGCTGGTGTGTTTCGAATCATTGTCTTGCTAAAAATGCCATTCATCTCCTAACAAGTCTTCAATCTCTGGAAGGTGGCTACGGAGTATGTTTACATAAAATTCAGCATTCATTATTTGAGAAAAACA